CAGTGGAGGAAGCTGCTCCTGCAGTTGAAGAGAAGGCTGTTGAGGAGGCCGCTCCTGTTGAAGAAGTAGCTGCTCCAGTCGAAGAAGAAGTTGCAGCCCCTGCAGAAGAAGCTGCTCCAGAAGCCGAGGCTGCTCCAGTTGAAGAACCAGCCGTGGAAGAAGCTGCTGCCCCCGTCGAGGAAGTTGCAGCTCCAGTCGAAGCTACAGTAGAAGAGCCAGTCGTCGAAGCTGCTCCAGTAGAAGCTGCAGCTGAAGAAGAAGTAGCCGCTCCAGTGGAGGAAGCTGCTCCTGCAGTTGAAGAGAAGGCTGTTGAGGAGGCCGCTCCAGTTGAAGAAGTAGCTGCTCCAGTCGAAGAAGAAGTCGCTGCCCCTGCAGAAGAAGCTGCTCCAGAAGTCGAAGCTGCTCCAGTTGAAGAACCAGCCGTGGAAGAAGCTGCTGCCCCCGTCGAGGAAGTTGCAGCTCCAGTCGAAGCTACAGTAGAAGAGCCAGTCGTCGAAGCTGCTCCAGTCGAAGCTACTGTTGAGGAGCCAGTCGCTCCCGCCGAAGAAGTCGCCGCTCCCGCCGAAGAAGTTGCTGCTCCAGTAGAAGCCACAGCCGAGGAGCCAGTAGCTGCTCCAGTTGAAGACGCAGCCGCCCCAGTAGTAGAAGAGAAGGCTGTTGAAGAGGAAGCAGCTCCAGCTGTAAGTCAAACGTGGAACGCTGTGGCATGGTTCGGATCCGTTCTCAAACATCATTCTATAGGCTGAACATGGTTTGAGCACTGGTGCCATTGCTGGTATTGCTGGTGTTGCTGGTCTTGGAGGTCTCACTGCCGCTGGTGCCGGAATTGCTGGTGTCTTTGGTCACCACGATGCTGCTCCTGAAGCTGAGGCTGCTGCTCCAGTCGAAGAAACTGCTGCTTCAGTAAGTTGATGATTTTGTGAGGTGTCTCGGTTGATATTTGCTAAATTCGATTTTAAAAGGCTGTTGAAGAAGCTGCCCCCGTCGAGGAAGCTGCTGCTCCAGTAGAAGCAGCCGCTCCCGAAGTTGAAGAAAAGGCTGTAGAAGAAGTCGCTCCAGTCGAAGAAGCGGCTGCCCCAATAGAAGAAGCCGCTCCAGTAGAACCTGCAGTTGAAGAATCTGCTCCAGCTATAGAAGAAGCTGCTCCTGAAGTCGAGGCCACTCCAGTTGAGGAAGTTGCTGCTCCAATAGCAGAAGAAGCTGCTCCAGTTGAGGAAGTTGCTGCTCCAGTTGAAGAAGCTGCAGAGCCAGTCGTTGAAGAAACTCCAGTCGAAGCTGCAGTTGAAGAACCAGTCGCTGAAGAAACTCCAGTCGAAGCTGCAGTTGAAGAACCAGTCGCTGAAGAAACTCCCGCTGCCGTAGAGGAGGTTGCTGCTCCAGCCGAAGAAGTCGCTGCCCCTGTTGAAGAAGAAGCTGCCCCAGCTGTTGAAGAAGCTGCCGTTCCAGTAAGCTGATCATTCCGTAAGGCGTTGTTCGAAGTTTGCTAAATTTGATTTCAATAGGCTGTTGAAGAAGCTACTCCAGTCGAAGAAGTCGCGGCTCCAGTCGAGGAAGCTGCTCCAGTGGAAAGTGCGGTTGAGGAACCAGCTGTTGAAGAAGTCGCTGCTCCCGTGGAAGAAGTTGAGGCTGCTCCAGTTGAGGAAGTCGCCGCTCCAGTAGCGGAAGAAGCTGCACCTGCTGTCGAAGAAACACCGGTTGAAGAAGCTACTCCTGCCGAAGAAGCCGCCGCTGAAGAAGTCGCTGCGCCTGAAGTTGAAGAAGCTGCCCCAGTAGTCGAAGAGGCTGCTCCAGTGGAATCTGCAGTCGAGGAGCCAGCAGTAGAGGAATCCGTTCCTGCTGAAGAAGCTGTAGAGCCTGTAGTCGAAGAAGCTGCCCCAGTCGAAGAAGTTGCACCAGTTGAACCAGTCGTAGAAGAAACTCCAGTTGAAGAGCCCACAGTCGAAGAAGAGCCAATAACTGAAGCAGAACCTGCAGTTGAAGCCGAGGTAAGTCGATGTTTATCCAAACACGGTGTTGTATCCAGATTGCCTAAACATGTTGTTCGTACCATCTAGGAGACACCATATCAAAAATTCGAAGCGATGGAAGCCCTCGAGCAGACAAAGGTTGAAGCCGAAGAACCAGTGGAAACCGCCGCTGCTGCTGTATGTACCTTCTCGGATCGCCAATTGAAAACTGAATCCAACTGACGCCATCCCGTCCACTTTATAGGAAGATGAATAAACCTGATATCGCATAATTCAAAACCAAAATATTCAACATAATCTCTCTTGCTCTAGACTATCTGTTTATTACTGTCATCAGCCTCCACAACACCACTTATGGGTATATATCTCCTTTTAGTACGTGAAGAATTTAATGGAACCGAATCCTTTTTTCCCCAAATACAATCATAATAGCTACCATTTTTTGCTTTGCGATGTTGGAATTGATCATGAGATCAAGTAATGTTGCTTCTTTGAAACACGTGTATATCTTGTATATGATCTTATATGATATACACCTGTTTCAAAGAAGCAACATTATTCCGTCACCCCATCAATGCTCCAAATTTAACGATCCTAAAGCGTTACGCGAGGATATCGCCAACAGTGCAATTTTGTAAAGCATGTATTGAAGTCCTTCAACTTCATTCCATATTCAACATCCTCTCAACACCTCGTGAGCCTCTTGTTTTTCGTGGTGGGATGGGATTGTGCATTCGAACAATCGATACGCCCCATCTCGGAGGGCCTTGAAGAAATCGTTGAGAGTTTGGAAGGTATTTCATGGTCGTTATTATACTTTTGAGCCATACTAGATGACAGTTTTGAAGTTGCGGCAAGAATTACTTTGGATCTAACCAGGCTTCTGTTTCTCGATCTGCTCGCTATAAGCGGCAATCATCAGAAGGAGATTAGATTCACATCGAGGCAGTCCTTGTGTATCCATTTTGCGCCACAGTATATGGAGATAAATTGGGAAATTTGGAAATGCTGTATGTTGAATATTGGAAGGTTGTCGAAAAGCCTTGAACAGCTTTCCAGGCCACTCCCCTGATCTCTAAAGATGATTGCACGTAACAAAGGCAAGGCTCTTTGTTCAATGATGGTAAACTTGCGTGCTTTGTGGCAAACACATTTCATCGCACTTGACTGCAAAATACACGCTGGAAAGTCAGCAATTGGACGCAATCAGGACTCCGAATTCCGGATAGCATTTAATGCACCTGGACTGGTACTGACGATTAGTCAACGGGAAGTGAGGTCGAAACCCTGAAACTCAAGTGAAGCAGCCGATGATGCTACCGTTGAGAGCACGTCGTTGGACGTAAGCAAGACTCCTTTCCTAGCATTCGATAGAGAGGAACCGTATCCACGTCGAAATTTTTTTTTGGCTCATGTATTCTATTGGGATTATAGTCCCGCAAATTTACGATTATTACAACACTTAAAACCCACTAAAGTTGCTAATTACTCCCCATATGTTACTGGAATTACGTTTGCGTCAGCCCCTCAACTTAGTTGTGACCAACCACCTCCCCGTATCCACGTCGAAATTTTGCAAAATATTCAAGTGAGGTAAACGACGATTCAGAATGAGCTTCTCCAGTAGAACAATCATTAGCTCAAAATCTCCCCGATAGTGAAACGGTATCACTCGTCCCTGTCACGGACGCAGCCTGGGTTCGACTCCCAGTCGAGGAGTTCATTTTTTCTTTTAAGTGATTCAAAAAATGTATTTTAAACCGATCTATAGCAATAATCTACACCAAAAAGCAGCACCTCGAAATTCATAGACCCCAAATAGGATCCCCCAAACGACGACGACCGACAAGTTGTCGCGCAATACCCTTCATGATACAGAATCCAACACGGCGGAAGACAAAGTTCTGAGCAACTATACCCCGCATTTTTTCCCCCCGCTTCCAAAAGTGATAAAGGAGATTTGCACATTATCTCCCAGAAAGCAGATAGAACGTCGTACAGTACAAAACGAACCACCAAGCTGGAAGGTCAAAGAAACTCATAATTTACATCTATCAGCGGCAACTAGAACATTCATGTTGTTCCAACCGATGCAATGGTTGCTGCAACTTCAATACGATAGGTATTGGGCCTGCCCCCTAACTCGTGAAGAATATCAAAGAAGGGTCAATTTGCCAAGATACTCCCTCATTCCGAACTGTCTCGAAAGAGTAAAGCTAGTGTGTCTAGTAGTACCCAAAGACCTAGCAAACACATCAACGACCAGTTGGACTGACGAATCCCTTCGATCAACTCTCATTACTGCTGCTATTATATTCTCACGAGAACAGGTAGGAAATCTGATACTTCCGCTTTCTGCAGTATGCTGAGCAAGGTATGTTAACCATACATGTGACAAGAGGGGGTTCTCCCAATGATCGAATATGGGTTTTATGTCTGGCTTGATTAGGATCGAGATCATTAGGACAAGCTGCCAGCTCCAAAGGTGGAATCGCAGGTTAGTATTCATTTGCCATTTCAGATGGGCTGGAAGGTTAATCCAACCTCCCACCACTTAGCAATGAATGCAGTCGTCCTGAATGAGAAGCGAAACTTGGTAAAAAGAGCTGCTCAAAATGGCAAACGAGGTAAAAAAATTATATGGTTGATTGATATTAGAACTAACGTTTTTGTCATTAGGTAATGAGATTCGGTATGCAAGACTTGTCCCAAACATCACTGGGACTTATAAATGTGTGCACTGTGGTAAGGATTCAAACATTTACAATACTGGTGGTAAGGCAAACTTGTGCGGAAGCTGCCAAAAAAGAGCAGCGTGGGACTATTAAAACGTGTAAAAATCCGAATTGTGGGTGTCGCAAAGCAAAACTGTAATTCGTCTCGTGTAATTGCGAGGACATGTTCGATTTGTTTTTGCTACAAGATATACATTTTGACTTTTTTCGTCACTACATGATATATTTTTTGCTAGATGCAGTGGGATTTTTAGAAAACAACTAAACGTCAGAGCAAAGAAAACAAAACCAACTTCAATCAGCGTGCATTAACAAACTTCGACATGGCCTTATTGGCTATGAGAGACCAAAAAGAAAGAATTGCGGTCAGACCGAAGCGATTGTGGCAAAATTCAAGAAAAACGCTTAATACTCGTGGTTCGTGTGATTACCTTCAGCAGCAGCGTGGCGTCTCAGTTCTCCTGAGAGCAAGAGTTCCGTTGCAGCTTTGATATCTTTAGGTGCCAGAGTCTTGACTTTATCTTTCTTCAACAAGACCGCAGCCTCATGTGCCAACCTTGTAATTGAGGTTCGGAGTTAGATTGATTTCTCACAGGTAAATCAAGGCTGATTGCATACCTTTCGAAAACATCGTGAATCAAATCATCTGCCACACTCATTCCTTGTCGCGAAATGCCAAGATCGGGGGCTACTTGTTTCAAAACTAAGAGATATGAGTTGCGTGAGCACACGATCAGAGTAGATTGCAATTTCGAGCACTATTCGACCTAGCCAAATACAGGAACATACCTCGATATATATACAGTGAGAAGCGGTCTTTTTCTCGAGCAGACTTCTTTCCGAGATGTCGCATTTGCCTTGCTGCTTTGGTCTGTTTTGGTTTCGTTGCAAGTGCGTGTATAGTTTTGATGGACTTCTTGGCAGATACAGGTGCCTTTTGAGCAACTGGTGCTTTCCCAGCAGGAGGCCTCTTCACACTTCGTGGTGGAGTTGGGAGGACTATTCCAGCTCCAGTTGTCGTAGGAGTAACTTCACGTCTCGGCATCGTTCCAGATTGTTTTTGTACAATACGTTCATCTTCAGGGTCAGGAGTATCACCCTCATACTGAGGTGGAATATAGTTCTGCTGGTCACGCTCGTACTGAGGTGGCTCCTCATCTTCATCTTCTTCGAATGCTTCACGTTGTTGTTGTCGTTGATGATCTTCTTCTTCGAGTGCTTCACGCACCGCCTGTAGCCTGCCTCCGAGTTCTTCTATCAGAATACGTTCCAACTCGTCATCTTGTGCGGCTTCTTCCATACTTTTTTCACGCCCATCGGGAGAGACTCGAGATTGATTACGAGCGACTTTGACTATGGGATTTATGGTCTCAGGTGAAGGTGGTGGTGTGGAATCACGTGCTTGGTATGAGCTTTGACGAGGCTTCTCTAAATGATATTGACGTACATAAGCTTCCTCTGCTTCTTCTTCATGGACAGGAGTTGGGGTTGCCCTCCTCCGGCCCATGACGTCTTCTCCTTCTTGGTCATCATCACTGCCTATATAATTTCGTTTACGATTCGAAACAGCAGCAGAGGATGGATGACCCTCCTCTCCAGATGCAAGACCACGAGGTCTTCGCCCATCAAACCCAGGTGTTGGAGCTGAATGACTTCCCACTTGATATATGCGACGAGGTTGTTGACCATCGACAAAAGGTGTTCTTCGGCTTTCGGCTTCAGATTCACGTCGTTCGGCTTGGAGACGACTTTTCATTTCGAGTCGACTGCGAATGCTCTTATCATTGCCTGATGTGGGCTTACTATGAGCGATGCTGGAAGTCGAGAGATGACGTTCATAGCCAGATAGGACACGTGCATTTTGATGTACATGCATTTGGGCGACACTGATGCGAGGACGGATGACATCTGCATCATCGTCCTCCTCTTCTTCTTCTGCCGTCCCACCCGCTTCCTCTGGAGAGTGACGACCAGTATGAGAATGACCAGTACGAGTATGATTATCACCACTAGTATAACTGTGACTGCGGCCACGAGAAGCTCGAGGATTATAGTCATCCTCGTCTTCAGCGTCGTCAGGGTGACGATTGGATTGAGACAAGTCAAAGTTGCTATCAACAAGATTTTGCAGACTCGGAGTGATCCTCATTGATGACTGCGAGAGTGGTTGGGATGTCTGCTGTATGGTATACTAGCATATATAATAAAATCAGACAGTCAGTTGTACTTCATTCGTTAAAGATTGCAAGAGAAACCAATGTATGTGCAGATGTGCGGCTCACCTCCAAATCCGTGATAGTAGTGATGTGAGTGTCCTCTTCCATCTTGCAAAGATCGTATATAATTGAGGCTATTTTGCTCTGTTGTCTGCCTAGAGCGAACGTCCTTGAGTCCAGTGTTTTTGACTTTTTGAAGTTGGAGCAGACGCAAACCAAAACCGCACTGCTCGAGACTCGGCGTCTCAGAGGAGCGAGACACATCTATTTACCATTCTACCAATGGCCACCGATGCGGACTCAACCAAAAGATCGCGGAAAGCTGTTGCTCTGGCATGGTAGGTTTATTTGCAGAACTGACGCGCTGAAGCAATAAGAAACAAGGCGATCAGCTTCCAAATATTATAATTTAATGTCTCCCCTCACTCATTTAGGGTCTCCTCAGTATTGGAACAGGCCAACATCTCTGTGGATCCCGCCCGAAATTTAATGGACGAACTACGTGCGGGACAGTTGCCATGTAGGATTATCAACCATCTTCTCCCTGGATCTATCGAATCATTCAACCACTCGGACTCTCCGTTCTCTGTCGTCGAGAATCTGAATGCTTTCAAAGCCAGTACGTATTTTACGTCTTTCTGGCGTCAACCAACTCGCTCATCACAATCTCATATAGCTTCGTCAAAATATGGGGTCGAAAAGAAATATCTAGTCTCACCGTTAGATTTCTTGAGTGGAGATCCTAGAGGTGATGAAACAATGATCTCCCATCTGCTGGCCTTAGCTCTGGCTGCTTCCTCACACAACCTGACCGTGAATGGCTTCAATGCCGATGAGACGAGATCTCTACTTGTAAATGTCCCCGCTACAGAATGGTCGCCAGAGCCCAAACACACCATCTTCTCCTCAACCCAAGACACCCCTAACGCAGACATACCTCCTTCTGGACAATTAAGCAGAAGAGCCTCCCACGACTTTATTCCACTGGCAGAGGATACAGACCCATCTTTACAACGCATATATGCAAAGATCGATTCCGTGGATGTCACTCAGGGCAAGCTCCTCAAAGGCCAAATCGACATGAAGCTGAAACTGGTGAGTAGCCGACCGTACAAAAACCTACAAATCCCTTCAAAATTGCTAAAACTACATCTAAATGTTATCAGGAAAGAGCCGATCAACGAGATTCCACTCTACATCAGAAAGTCGACCTGCTTTCGAACGGCCTTTTGGGCGCGTTCGACGCCATGTTCAAGAGATTACATGATTTGGAAGCTTCACAGAAAGAGCTCTTAGAAAAAGTCAGTGAAATGTCGAAAACACGACCAGCATCATCGTATGCTGAAAGTCCAGCTGAAGATGATGACGGCCGAGGACATGCTCGAAGACCTTACGGAAAACTGTCTCATCTTTCTCCCGATGTTGCTACTTCAAACGACTCTTTCGCTATATCACCGGCAAAATTGGACAGTGCACCATCTACTTTAACGTTGTCAAGTCCAACGGCACCAAAGTTATTTGCAAAGTTGCCACCAGAAGTCCTCAATGCTGGTCTAACCAAAGCAGAAATGATGCGACTGTCTGTTGTTTATGAGTTGATTGAGACCGAGTCAGATTATGTCAAAGACCTCGGCACCATGATCAACGTGAGTGAAGTTTGTACCCATTGTTTTGTTTTTCGTCAGTATTGACCATTTTTCTCTACAGTACCACAAGGCCCAAATGATGAAGGGATCGCTATTGCCAGAAGCCGAGATTCAACAACTTTTCGCAAATGTCGATCAGCTCTTAGTCGCTAATCAAGTACGCCCAAACAATACACCGCAAATGTTACAAGTCATTACTTACATTTCCCAAATTGAACTAGGAATTTTTGGTAAAACTGGTAGCTCGAAAAGAAGCAAATGTCGTCATACAGGAAATAGGAGATGTCATTGCAGACTGTGCTGATGTAAGTTTGTCCTCAGTCTGCGATGATTCAACGTCTAAGATTATAGTCATATATCATACCCTATTTATAGTCATTCAAGGTTTACACTCAATATTGTGGGAACTATCCTATCGCCATGAAGCTGGTTCATAGCCTACAAGCAAGACCAGACTTCAAGCCACTATTGGAAAAGTGGATGAACAGCCCAGAGTGTCGTGGTCTAAGCTTGGAATCCTTCTTGATTAAGCCCGTGCAGCGTATTTGCAAGTAAGGTTTTGATGTTTGAATTGATATCCAAGATAGTCTCTGAGGTTTCTGCCTTAAAGGTATCCCCTATTGCTGAAAGAACTACTCCGCCACACCGACAAGTCCAGCAAAGACCATCTGAACTTGACTACGGCAGAAGAAAAGATTGCTGCTGTTGTTACTATAGTAAACGAAGGCACGAGAGCTCTGGGTGAGCGAGAGAGGATGATAACGCTACAGGGTCGTATTGATTCTCCCATCGTAAGTTTCTGAACAATAACTTTAGAATTGAAGGCCTTCGTGTACTGACTGTGCTTTGAAATCTCTAGCCTCTGGCACTTGAAGACAAGAAACTCATTCGAGATGGAGCGCTGATACAAATAATCGCCGGTGGAAAAGCCAAAGATAGGCATATTTTCCTGTTTAACGACACCATGTTGATTTGCAAGACTGCTGTGAAGGGTCGCTACCCACTAGAAAATCAGTATATGTTGGCAGAACTCATTCTCAAGACAGAAGTCAAGCCTGGCACCGTAGTAGCCGAATCCATACCAAAAGGTCATCGTTGGGTCTTCCAGCTCTTATTGGTTGGAGAAAAGAAGGAAACCATTTTATTATCTGCCGCAACAGAAGAAGAGAAGGTGAAATGGTGCGACTTGTTTGCTGATGCTTGCAAGAAGGCCATTGAAGAGGCTGCCAAAGATCACCGGTCTGGAAAGCGCATTTCAGCTCTACCACTAAGTGCGCTGTCTCGTCAAATGTCTGACCGTGTTCCTGGACGTCCACAACTCGGATCTCGCACTGTTCGTGGACCTACTGCTGGTGGTGTGCACAGAAATGTTTCAGTTAGCACTACCAAGACGAAATGGGTCAGTTGCGCTGTCAGCTTCTCGTTGATCATTTTGCACGGAAATCTCGATTTTGACATTGTTTCTGCATTGTAGGGTACTGTGCGCATGAAGTCGGTGACTCAACCTTCGGTATATGTGAAATCATTCTGTTCGTATTGGGATATGAGCCTAACAAAACTCGTTTAATCCAGCCTACTGGTGAAGAAATGACTGAAGTGCAGCCTCCAGAAATCGTAAGTCTTTGCTGGTCGCTTTGTGCACAAAGAAGCAGATTCTAACTATAATCCAAATAGGAACCTGAAATGGTCGACATCAATGGTGTTGTTTGGAAGAGAGCTCTATCCGCCTTCGGCATGACATACTACTAGTACGTGGACAATTCGGAAGACATGATTGACCTGTTCTACCTACCTAGAAGGATTCGTTAGACTAACGAATCTCAAACCATCTCTAGCAATACTCATACTCGAGAATCTCTGTGGCGATTACCTGACGGATATATCATTCTGGATCCTGAGACTGGCAAACCTGTTGACTTGACCACAGATCCTGTCTTTGGAGAGCCCGACCAAGTCGACGCAGCGTCCACTGATGAAGAGATTGCTTCTGGTGACTATCCCATGCTCGAGAATGTTGATGGACATCCAGAATGGAAGAAAGTTGACAGGGGTGAAGGAATTGTTTACTACTTCCGTGTTGACACTCAAGAGACCAGTTGGTTTGCTCCGTAAGTTTGGTTGGTGCGTTTTCATTCAATATCGTGACTGATACTGATATTTCCATGTGTAGAGGTGCTGAGGAAGCTTAGAATTGCCTTTTATATTTCGAACGCTGTGTACCTTACCTTTAATACTTTAATATTACATTACACTTTCTGTTCAAGGTCGCATTTGAGAAAGGTTAAGGTCTACGAGTCATCAGTTTTGTTGCCATCTTAGCAGATAGTTGGTATACACGGCTTTTCGAGAGCTATTAACAACAGGAAACGACTGTCGCGATAAGTTTAAACGACTGAATAGATACAAAAGGCGCTTCTATTTAGTTTACATACAAGGAGCCATTTATGGTTTACCAGACTTGGTAGCCTCAAGATTGAAAAGTGGTATTTGTTCCATGAGGCATCCTTTGATTCGAGCGAGAAGCTGCTCATTGGTATGCCTAAAATCATATGGCATCTTGAGTTCCACTTGATACGGTGCATGCCCCCCTTCTCCTCGATATAAATACGGATGCAGCATAAATATCAAGGGAGGTGTTCGAGGAAAGCTTTCCGGCAAGTGTACTACGATGAAGAAAGGTTTAAAACTTGGGGACTGACTGAATCAACACAAAGTCTCCAGTACTCACTGAGAACAAACGCATGAGCACCTTCCCGTGTTCCTGCATTTGTTGGAGCATTGGGTGCAGCAAGTTCCAGATATAACGCACAGACCGAAAAGTTGATTTCATCGTACTCCAACAAGTGGTCCTGGAAGGCCAGAGTCAGAGCTTGCATGAAACTCTTCTTCCTGCCTTTCCGTTGTGTGATAATATCTCGACCATATATCAAGATTTTCTCCACGCTTTCTATAAAGTCAACCAAGGGCGTTTCACGATCAAATGGTGGCATCTACAGGTTTGAGGGTTCCTTTCAGAGATGATTCATTTGTGGTTTATCTAACGATGGCTGTGATTTGGCTCACCTTGAAAAGCATATCTCTTTCCTTTTCAATAGCTTCAGGCAATTCAATCTTTTTGTCCACTGTTCGTACCTCACAGTCTGCCATATGATATGTGAGGGTAACATGAGCTATGACGGGCAGAATGGTTGGGGAATGCGTTCCGAACTATGCGAACATTATGTAGTTTTATCACCTTCGATTTCAGGATTCTCGAACGGTGACTTGAAGAACTCTGCCATGTCATCAGCTTCCAGAGGTATTCTTATCGGTATCTCAAAGCGTGCCTATCGAAACGGATGCTCTTAGATTTCGCGAGTGAATGAAATGAAGGCGAGGGGTATTCTTTACCATTGAACCGCCAGCAAGAATCATAAAGTCTATAGCCTGTTTGAAGCGGAATGAGACTTATGTGACGAACTAAGGATCCAAACCATAAAGCATACTGGATTGTGTTGGATCGTACTGCAGTCAAACTGTAGCTTTGGAACCTGCACATTGGCGACCTGAGCCTTCTGATATTCCTAGGAATATTATAGCAGATGAATGGTTGGACGATTGACGAGGATTCACAAACACACTGCCCATATACCGAATATAGACCTCGTATGTTTTGTAACATTGTCAATAAACAGTCTGGTTTGAGAGCATCCCAATGCATATATGATTGTATCTGGTCCAAAGTCACCACAAAGCTAGTGTCATTTGCCAACGAGGTGATGATCACATCCGGAGGATATTGTGGATCGTAGGGATCATAGAATACTTCACCTATATGTTGAAAAGAGTGAGCTTGCTGGTTAAGGACGTGTCTTTAATGTCAAATGCTCTTGAACTAAATCAAGCTCAAATGTTGACTCAAATGTTGGCTATGAACATTAAGACAGACTTACAAGACAGACGAGCTTCTCCACAAAACCAGATCTTTACATCGAATCGCGTGCAGGCACCGACTGTCTCATGGGTATAGGACGATGGTCTTGGATTGCCAACATCAAAATGGTGTCGTTCATCAGACAAGACATTCTTGATGTGAGGCTGGACGAAGGGGACATATGAAGAGAGGTCATTTAACTGATTTAGACTCGGCAAGCTGGATGTCGAGTTCTTCATTGTTGCTGGCTTGCTGCTGCTGGCCGTACTCGAAGACATTTGGGAAATATATTTGCTGCAGTTTGTATAGATGTTTAACCAGCGATCTGGGTGGGCTCTTTCCAACGATTTCATTCGAATTCTACTTCTCGATTTACGTGGTTGAACACTGGTGGATCAGTGACCATGACGAATACACCAGGTCATCAGGATACTCTCATCATCCGTGTCCTCAAGCACGTTACTTTCACCTACAACGTATCGACCTGCTGCTCACTGGCTGCTTTTGGTGCAACGTCCTTCACTATTTGGACTGATATGTCTGTGTTTCAGAACTATATCGTGAAGCACCCCTGCTCAGATGCCCAACCGACACACAATGGGTATAAGAGTTTTGCCGCATGTGGACGCATCTGTCAAGTCTCGTAAGTGACGGGTCCTAACCATCAATAGACCCTTTTGCTTGTGGCAAGTACTGGCCCTGCTGTTGTTACTTTGTAGGGAACAATACGCTCTACGGCAAGCTTCGCTCCAAGTTGATTTCTCTGTAGGGCATGCTGTGTTTGTGGTGGTAGTACTGCTTTACAGAAACGTTTTTTGTATCAACCAAACGAGCAAGAAAGTTGCATAAATCTTGCGGAGCCCGAATCCCATATATACCTCACAATCGTACTAGAATCAGAATCCACGTTGGTTCCTATGCGTACAGAATCGTGTAGGTGACATTGTTGCATTACTGCACGTCAAACATCAGCTGTGATTCACAATTTGTGTCGATTAATAGAAGGAGACACAGCAGCATACCAGGAAGCGCAAATATCAATTTACCAGATGCACAATTTATATTCAAGTGTGAAACCACGGAAGCACAAATCTAAAGTCGAAAAAAAGGCAAGGAAAATTTGTTGGATTCTGTATCATGAAGGGGAATTGCGCGACACCTTGTCAATCGTCGTCGTTTGGGTGATCCTATTTGTGGTCTATGAATATAGAGGTGCTACTTTTTGGTGTAGATTAGTGCTATAAATCGCTTTAATATACATTTTTTGCGTCGCAAGAATTTGGAACATAGGAGCAATAGGAGCAAAAAGAGCTCCTCGACTGGGAGTCGAACCCAGGCTGCGTCCGTGACAGGGACGAGTGATACCGTTTCACTATCGGGGACAATGTGAACGATGAAGCTTTAATACTCATATTCTGCATTTACAGCATCACCGTCCTCACCCGGGTGTTGAGAAAGAGGCTCGGCAAAAATTCCAGTAACGTATGGGGAGTAATTAGCAACTTTAGTGGGTTAAGTGTGGTAATAATCGTAAATTTGCGGGACTATAATGCCAATAGAATGCATGAGCCAAGAAAAAGCTCGACACGACGGGACTATAATCTCAAGCAAGAATAAAATGCATGAGCCAAAAAGGCTCGACACGAGGTTGGCTCCTTGGGATCGAACGCAGTGAGGAGGCAAGCCCTATGTTCCCTTCGGAGTTCTGAGTATTCTCAATGTGTAGCATGCATCGTCGTTTTCCTCAATTGAATGATTCCAGTGCGTTCAGTGCGTTTCGACATCGCGTCCCGTCGATTAATAATAGTGGTCCAAGTGAAGTAAATATAATTCAGAGCAATCCAGTATCTTTGACGTCCAATGGCCGATGTTTCTATGTTTGTTTTGCTTGACTGCGCAAAACAACGTTTCTTCGCCAACTTGGCCGCAAGCACAGTTTACTAGCACAGCAGTTTAGCAGCATTCACAAAACGATCTTGACTTGCTACGTGAATTGGTGTTTTAAGACAGAGATCAGTGATTGGCTGGGAAACTTATCTTTGGTTTCGAAACCTTCCAAAAACAACACCGTTTCCACATCTCCCAACTTCTTACCACATATTGAAACACAAAATGCAAGCACAGGGACTATCTCACTGTGATTCCAATCTTTTACCGGCTGAAATTGCCGCTTACAGCGAGCATATCGAAAACCTATTGCGAAACAAGACGTTGTTGAATCCAAAGTATTTTTTGCCGCAAATTCATAACCGTTGGTGAATACTCTTCAAACTAACACTAGTGTACACCTTTAGATACCTTCCATTCACCGAAAGCAATAATTTATTCAATGCTTTGAGAGATGGTGTTGTATTAGGATACTTGTTGGAAGCCGTCAAACCAAATTCCATTCAAGCATCGAAGCTAAACCACCACATTGATGCTTCCCTAATTGGCAAAAAAGACGGCACAAAGGATCATTTCGAAGCTATTGCCAATTTGAACTTGTGTCTGGAAGCAGCCAAGGACAAGGCCAAAGTCGTGATTGTCAATGTCTCGGCTGAAGACTTTATTGCTGGCAGCTCTAAACCGGACTTGGTTCTCGGAGTCATCTGGCAAATCATTAGAAGCCATCTGTTGGAATCGGTGAACTTTATCGCCCATCCTGAACTTGTTCGGTTACTTCATGTAAGAAGCTCATCTCGGAGTTTGTTTCACGTTCTAGCTGGTGCTAACAAAGTCTGGTCGTTATAATAGGAAGGAGAGAATCTCCATACTCTGATCAACTCGACTTCTGAGCAACTCCTATTTCGCTGGGTCAATTATCACCTGAACCGGGATGGAACAACTAGACGAATAGCCAGTTGGAAGGATGTTACTGACGGTGAAATCTATCTACGTCTCTTCCGCCAAATCGTTCCAGCCAAGACCCTGTGTGAGAGCAACTCTTCCGTTGATTCTGGACTGGCCGGTAGCGACAAGGCTCGAACAGTGCTTCAAGTTGCCGAGCAGCTTGGTGTCAGAAGATTCGTTACTGTTGGGGATATAGAATCCGGCCATTCTCGGCTCAATCTTGCCTTTGTAGCCAATATATTCAACCACTACATTGGCATCGAACTACCCACTGAAGACGAAGTACGAGCCATGAGAGACGAAATTGCTCAGCTTAAGGACGCCAAACAAGGCTTGGGTCGTCGAGTCAGTGAATTGGAAGCCACATTAGCAGCCAAGAACGACTTTGTAAAAGATCTTGTCGTCAAGCATGTTTCTGACACTAATGCCAAGTCGGAAGAACTGGCTTGCAGTCAGGCAACCATCGATGAACTCCGCCGAGAACTCAATCAAATTCGAGAAGATCATGCAGCTGAAAATGTTGTCAAGTCGGACGCTCTGGCTAGTAGTCAACGAACAATAGCAGAGTTAGAATTGAAGCTAAATCAGAATCAAGAAGCTCAGCAAGCTTATCGCAAGAACGTGCAGGGACAGGTAAACAAAAGCTCTGTTCGTCGTCTTCAATACCTTTGCTGACTTTCTCGAATAATTCCAGCTCTTTGCCGTACGCACTCTCATACGTGACCACTTCACCGAAGTCAAAGCTCAAGACATCCTTCCTGGAGAACTGGCATTATCTCTACCCGACTTGAGTGCTTCTAAAGAATCACTGGCATCATTAGGTGATCATCCAGAGCCAACCGAGATATACGGATCCCTGGAAGATGAACTTAACGGACAAAGCTCTGACTTGCAGTTATTCGTACGAGATTTGTTGGAAGAAGTCCATCTTCAACGAAATATCATCAAGCTTCTGGCTGGTAAAGAGCAGCAGTTTGCCAAGTTGACACAAGTTATGGGTGACAAGATCAAAGGTTTGTTTTGGAGATTTGATATGCACCAAAGTGCACGTGACTGATTGAACATTGTTTTAGAATACACTGAGTCTGTGATCGCCGAACGACCTGCTAAGAGAACTCAAAAGCCAATCAAGAAGAATGACCTCTAATAATCATAATACCCGTAACACTCTCACTATATCACTGCCAGTCTGCTCTTTTATAACTTTAATATTTGCTTTACTTTATTAATACACGTCTTTAATTTCCTAATGGTATTCCTGTTATATCAAGTCCTAATGACTGGAAACTCGACGTGGCTGTTTCTGCCAGAGACCTCAACTGAGGCAAATTCGGTGTTCTAGACGATGCTGCAGATGGCCGTTTAGCTTGAGCTTGAGATTCACTTTTCGGTCTTGCAAAGGCACCATCAGTAGCAGCAACAGCTTCCTTTTGCTCGGGAACTTGTTCGATTTCGCGTTCATCCTCTTGTTCGTTATCATCGGATGCAGGAGCTGTTAGACTAACTCCATTCATTTGAGCAAAGAGCACACGCAGCACTCGTTCCTTATCACTCCAGCTGAGATCAGTCAAGTCAACACCACCATCTTGATTTGGTTTCGGAGCCGTTACGGGATCTTCTTCCAAAATCAGTTGAACCAAATCCTTCTTAGAGTTTGGTGGTATAATCTTGAGTGACTGTAGTGCTGGTGATGTTGCTTCCTTGGATGTGACGAGTGCGCGCATTTGAGACTGGTATTGGGCTTTGGCTTCTCGTTGTGCTTCTGCTCGTGACTGGCGTATCTGTTGTCGAGTATAGTGCAGAGCGTCCATGAAGAACTTTTCTAGACTTGTGCGCTGATCCAAGACATGTTGTGCCAGTCGCTACAAGAATATAGGTGTCAGAGTGCATATCGCGCCAAAACGTTTGGTTTTAATACTAGACTGCAACATAAAACACTGAAGAAACCTTGATATGTTTGGCTTCCTTGACACGTCGTTTCAGATCTTGTCGTAATTCATCGGTCGTGGCGGTAATTGTATCGATCTCTATTCTAGCTCTGGAAGCTAAAGCTTCTCGTTCTCGTTCGAATCCGAGAATCACCGTTGACAGGGTACTCTCCAACGACATGACTTTTGTATGCAAGTCCTTGATCTAGACACAGAGGACAATAAATAATGAGTTTCTTTCAATTGATAAACGGAAGAAACGATATGACTTGTCTTTGAAATTCACCTCAGACCCCTGTGACTTGCTCTTCAATATCTTTTCCTTGACAATCATCTGATTGACTTCCCGCTCATCCAGCAACAGTTTGCACCGAGCTTCCAATTCAGCATTCCGCTTCTGTAGCCCTTCTCCGTCTTCCACGTGTCGTTTCAGAGCATCTGCCAATCGAACATTCTCTCTATACACATCTCGAGTCGTCTCGTCCAAATTAGCAACGGCCTCCTGATGCGCTTGGGCAGCAAGATCCGAAATCTTCCTATTAGCTTCTCGCTGTATTCTGACCTTGTCTTCGAAAAATCGTCGTTCTAGTCGTGACATGGCATCAGCATGTCGGGCTTCTATTATCACAAGATCTTCGCGTGACTTGTCAAGTTCTGCAAGTAGCTCGTGTCTTTTCCTCTAGATGAATTTCGCTACGTTAATTATTACGAAAAACAGCAATGGGAAGGCGCATCATGACCTTACTCTAAAATCTTTGATGGTTGCAAACTCTTGCAGTATGACATTATGTTGAGCATCCTTTTCTGCCATAGTAGCTAGCACTTCTTCCACTTGCTTTTTACATTCTCCCTTGAGCGAGTCTATCTGAACTTCACAAGTCTCCCTGACTGCATCGATGTGGTGTTTGAGCGATTCGATTTCCACGTCCTTTTGCTCAGATTCGGCCCTGAGAGCTCCAAGTACGTCTAACTATGCGAAATATAATTTTGATTAGCTAAAATGTCAGAGAAGCCATCCACAGCGTTGGTTGCCGTTAACTCACAGTATCCCGTTCTTGAACTTCACCATCACGTCTGAGCTCATTGTTTTCAGATACCCTACAAGTTAAGACGGGTGAATAATTCAACGAAATTCATATTCAAAGGATCCATGCTTACATGTCGTCGAATCTGGCTTGAAATGCGACAATGCGATTTTGAAGACTTTGCACTCTACAGAAAAACGAATAAGCGATCGCCCAACAGCGAGTAATCAAATCTCAAATCAAACTCTTACTGGAGCTCCAATTCCATCTCTCTAAAGGAAGGAGGAGCGTGCAATCCATCAACAAGAGCTGAATTGTTCAACTCGATATTTTCTTGACCTTTATCCTTGTTTCCATCCTTCTTGTCCTTTCCGCCAGCCTTTTTGGATGCAGCCTTTTTGGGAGGCATTTATGCGTCTTTCACAGAGCTGATATCTGTTTTGTGAAGGTTGTGTGTTTGTTCAAAAAAGTGTGATTGATTGGATCGGATGTTTTTTATGTGAGAGCCTGGACTTTACAAGCAGATTACGCCCTGTAAACGTTGCTCCCGCTGGTTTCTGCACATAATACCAGCACCCAAAACTTATTCATACCCAAACTTATCAGCTGAATCTGACCTGCGTACCCAGTATGAATGATCTATATAACATAAGCCAAAGATGATAAGCTAGATACAAAGGATGTGCACTAAACTGATGAATATGGTAATGTAACAATTATCTATGTTGATGAGAGTCCTTCGACTTCAAGCGAAGGTATTTGCATGTTGATGTCAGATTCCACCAGCTTTACGCCAAGTTCTACACTGGCCCTACGTCTACTTGAAAGTGTTTCCTTTCTGACATGGCCAAATGACGTTCGAGTATTAGAATTAGTTGTAGTATTGATACCATCACCATGCGTAAAATCATCATATATTTCGGTTAGACATCCAATTAGAGACGATAGACCTAATGAGTATCCGCTATCTGCGCCTTTTGATGTTGGTGGGAATGGCACTCGAGTGCAGCCTGGTGGCGTTGATGGTTCTTGTTCAGACACAAGAAGATGGGCTTTTGGCACAAAATGTGCAAAGTCAATCATTCTCACATCTACTTCTCGGGGCTTGTTTGGTAACGATGATGATTCTTCAAGCCACGCGCCATCATAAATCATGAGTAGCGAAGAGGCGTAGAAGCGGTAATGTGGGAGTGTTTGAATTATTTTATGGAGTTTGGTAAGTTTAGCAATGAGTGTGGGTATATGGCCAACGAGATAATAGTCGCCAGAGTCCAGAAAGCCGAGTAAGGATGACTTAAAATTAGTGGTGTTGATTTGGCGACCTGCATATTTGTCTAAATACATGTATGTTTGACTGTCTGTCTTCCAGACCTATAATTGCAAATACAAATCAGTTTGGAGAAAAGACGTAATAACAATGAAGAACAACAACCAAATGTTTTGGGATTACCTGCATGCCGCAGATGCGGACTCCCAGCTCCTTACTAGTGCTACGTTCACACTTCTTTTCTTGACTGCGAGCCTTGGCCAAAGTCGCCCTGACACCATGTTGTCTTCTTCCCATCTTCAAATCCAAAATGCATGGCCTACGAAACGGTTGCACAGTAAGTATAACATGGACATTTTTGAACGGGTATGATCTCGACTGAAGCCAACAATGTAACAAACTTACCTCTTCATACCCTCTGTCAAGTCTCCCAATAATAGAAATTTCTGCGGAGTATCTAGCTGACGTGGACTCTTCAATACGTTTATATAGCATTGCAGCGACCATGGATTCATGTTGGCGTTTGTTGCGGGCGGCAGTTCAGGTTCAGATTTTGATGGTGTTGACGTTGATGATGGCGATGGAGTATATGATTGTCGACCTAGTGTACTGGTAGCACCATAACTATTTGTTCGAGTATGGCCCTTTCTACGGCTTTTATATGTGGAATCTGGTTTTACATCTGCCTCGTCATTATCCATCTGGAAGATGGGAGTCAACGAATCAGATGATGCCCGATCAGCAATAACAGGGGGAGTCGCTATAATCGATTTCGGTTTTTGAGTCGGTGTAGATGGCATAGTAGTATTCTCGTTGGTTGGTAATACCAGTTTACTGGACGAGCCATCAGCATCTTTCAAGCCACTGATAGAGTGCCTCCGTTTCATAGCACCTACAGTTGATTTCAATTGAGCAAAACGAGCTCGTAAACTCTTTGGCGAGAGTGCTTCTCGAAACAACTCTCCCTGCTGAAGTCTACGATTGTTTATACGAAAGAGATTTATGGATTCGTCCGACGAGTTTGTGCTAGATGCGATCGAGTTTCCAGTTGGGTCACTAGCTGTACGCTCGTGATATGGTATTTGCGGCTGATCTAGTAGCAAGTGACGATTCTGTTCGAGCAAGACTACCGGAGTTCCTTCCAGCCACCATTCCTGGCCAGCTGGACCTTCTCCGTGTATTGTAGAGTAGTTGACATTGACAACACCTAGATAAGTACAAGTATATTGTTGCAGCTCTGGGTGCATTGCTTCTACTAGTTCGTAAAACGTCTGTTCCATTGGATCTAGAGGTTTGCAAATGGCTCTTTCTGAAAACCGCAGTACTGGAGTGTGGCCGCCGACTTGATTTGAGAATGGCTAGAGTTAGGACATGAACAGTTAGGATGTGATAGTAGTGAATGGCTGATATCTAGCCCTTTTTAAAATAAAAAGTTGTGGGGCATCACGAGCGAATTAGATCCAACCAGGCTTACCGTCAATGGAAGGCTGTTCCCGACGCCTGAAGTCAGATATTCGAAGGAGGCATCTTCCTCGTCCTCTGTCTCAAGTTCATGATCATGTTCGTCGTTTAGAAGCCTCAAGTCCTGATCAAAGGAAGAAGAGAGCGCTCTATGAGAAGGACTAGTAAATGTTCGAGGTAGGGATTCTGGTGATGAAGGTAGTGGTGTTGAATATGTTTTAGAAGGGGTTGATGATGATTTTGGCAGGTAGGTTGACAGTTCAGGGGGACTATTTCTGGCAAAGAATACTGGGGGATCTGTGGAGTGGGCTGTAATATCTGTAGTCATGGTTGCGCTTCCAAGACATTTCTTGTTGCGACCAGGTTACCTTCTTTTGGGGCTTCGATTGCTGTTGTCTCGCAACGTGGTGTTGTTAGGAAATTGGATGAGAGTAGCTATAAAAATTGTCTGTCGGTGGATGGATCCGAGGCTATTCGTTAAGTTAAGAATGGATTCAATGTGGACCAAGCGTTTCAAGGCTTCCTTTGTTGTGAACTTGTGCTGAGAAACTGACGTTTTTCGGAGAACCAATCGTGTCGAACGTGATGGAATCAGATGATGATTAAAAACACGTGGATGCCAACAAGAAAAAGTTGGTATTGCTGTAATTCTGCATAGTGGAACACATCAACGTTACGGGATTACGTGTCACTTATCGTGTATTTTCAGACTCTCCATTTTGGAATATCAGGCCCTGATATTTCTCACACAATTTCTATTAGAAACTCTGATCGGAACCAGTTGATCTACTGCTGGTGACTGTATCATCGGGGCTGGAGTTACATTTGGGGTGATCCATAACTTTGTTTAAGAGCTTTCGCTCAGTAGTATTGTTTCCAATCCAACCACAAACAGACTGCAATTAATAAATCAATTGCACCTCTGGTCTGTTGCAGCAAATAGATCAATTCTACTTGATGCATGTACGCCGTTCGAAACGCCAATTCCTGGTTAGTGCAACTAGCTACGTCATTATTCTCGCTTTTGCTTCCCCCACGACCTTGTGCTACGATTGACACTTACTTCATCTTTGAAAAGCAACAAAAGGTACGAATAGCACTAACCTCCCCTCAAGCACTTGCATCTGTCCATCTTCAGTTCGTCCCAACGTCCCTCATAACTCACAATCCTCTCCCTTCGCTCTAGAAACAAAATGGCTACTGCTCAACACATTTCTCCCGTAGCTGCCCACCAGCGCCCAGGTGCTGTTATGGTATGTATAGCTTCTACTTGTATTGCTACGTCCTCTTGACCGCCGTGACTCTCGCAAACGGCTGGTGGTCCTCGTTCTGTCCAACATCAACACTAACATCAACTCTTTGCTTTTAAAGCACGACAGTGGTGTCATGCTCAGCGCAAAGGCTGTCAACATCCTCGCCAAAGTCCAGGCTTTCGTCGAGGTAGGCGCACCCGGCCATTCCGTAGTGTCTGTCTATCCTGCTTGAACCAGTAGCGTTAAACACCACGATTTCTGTTTGTTCTACCAACACTTTGCATTTCTTGTAGAACGAATGTATCCCTGCTCAGCCCATCTATGCAGACCAATTGGTGAGCCCGGCTTCTATACAACTCTACCGTCTGATCGAAATGGCAAAACTCATCCAATATCCCCTTCCCAGAACGCCATGACCGATCGTTGGGCTGCAACTCCCCCAATCGTCGATGTATTGCGAGCACGTGCCCGTGAACTCGGCTTATGGAACATGTTCTTGACCGAAGAATACGGTGACTTGGGACAAGGTCTAAGTGTCATGGAATACTCTGTCGTAAGTTCATAATACAAATTTGTTGTGCTTTGCAAGTCAACTTTACTCGAGCTAACACATATTTCCTATAGATCTGTATGTGGTTTGTGTTTTTGCTTTACAAATTCAACTTTACTCGGTCTCACACATTTTCCATATAGGTGGTACACACTTTTGTTTGTGACTGAAAGTGCTCCCATGCACGATTTAATGAATCAATTCTCTATACAGAATGGCTCGGACACTCTACCTTGGCTTCCATTGCTACCAACTGCGCTGTGAGTGGATTGTATTCGAGTCGCAACACATGTGACCTCATCGATATCTTCATCTAATCGTAAACATCGTTGTATAGGCCCCAGACACTGGTAACATGGAACTCATTGCCAAATACGGTACCCCCGAACAAAAAGCCAAGGTAAGTCAAGATTGAATACAAAGAAGATGTATCTTTATTTACAAGACCCCTTACCCACTTGATAACAGTGGTTGAAGCCATTGATGGAAGCCCAGATCAGGTATGCTTCACATTTTGTTTCATCATCCCAAACCTTTTATTTTGCTGAACTAGCACAATCTGAACAGATCTGCTTTCACCATGACTGAGCCCGATGTTGCCAGTTCCGATGCTACAGTAAAGTCCTCTCCGAATCGTCAGTTTCTACCACGCGTCCACCCACATTCTTTTCTCTTTTAGAACTTGGCCTTCAAGATGACCAAGACCTTGGACGGAAAGCACTACGTCCTCAACGGTCGAAAGCACTGGATTTCTGGAAGCTCAGACCCTCACTGCAAGCTCTACATCGTCGTCGGAAAGACTGACGATATGGGCGGCCGTCACACTTCTCACTCCATTGTTTTGGTACCAAAGTACCCCAACAATGACGGAAAAGTCATCAAGGGTTTAACCACCGTCCGACACTTGAGCGTCTTTGGTTACGATGATGCACCTCACGGTCACGATGAACTCATCTTCGACAACGTCATGGTCCCAGTCGAGAACTTGGTCTTGGGCGAAGGTCGTGGGTTTGAAGTTTTACAAGGTCGTTTGGGTGGTGGTCGTATTCATCACTGGCAAGTGCTACTCATACGCTTGAAATCAATCTGCCAGCGTCCTTACCAACTGTCAATTCTAGTATGAGAACTTTGGGTGTTGGAGAACGTGCCATGGAACTCGCAATCTTGGAATGTACCAACCCCCAGAAGAAGCCCTTCGGAAAGCTCAAGGGTGAACAAGGAAAGATTCAATGGGACTTGTCTGAAGCCAGAATTGATCTTGGTAAGAGCAGCTTCCATGCAATATGGGCAAACTTCAATATTTAACTGTCTCTGAGTTTAGAAATGTGCAAACGTCTTGTTTACCATGCTGCTGCTGCCATGGATGCTAAAGGCCCCAAGGCTGCTGCCCGTGAAATCGCTATGGCTAAGATCAAGGTCCCACGATTGGTGTTGGGTCTAATTGACAGTGCCATCCAAATTCACGGAGGGTAAGTTCCGTTGGTTTGATGTAGTACGAGTTGGTATTCACACGCATTTCCTTATTATTAGTCTTGGTATCTCCCAATCCACCGAATTGGCTTCTATGTACGCTCACTGCCGTACCCTCCGGTAAGTCATTGCAAGTTTGGGTTTTTGGACCTTGGACTCCATTTCTAAGACTCTCACTCTTTATAGATTCGCTGACGGCCCTGACGAAGCACACAGGTCTCAATTAAATTGCATCTCCGCTTATAAACATCGATTGATGAACTAACGTGTTATTTTTCCATTCGTCTACAGTCAACAAGTTGCCCGTAACGAATTGGCCAAGGCTGACAAGCTCCGCATCAAGTACGAGATGTACCGTCAAAAGACAGCCGAATACCGTGCCAAGTACTTGGCCAAGATGTAGAAGACTATTCCTTGCAATTCCTCACAATTCTCTAAAAAAAATGAAGTCAATTTGTTCGTCTTTAAATACGTAGTGAACAATTAGTGGGTCTTTTTGTCTATTCACGTCTTAGTTTACGCGTCGCTACGAATATCTTGACTGTTAAGTGCTGCGTCAACGACGTCAAAACGTTGACAAAAGTTATATGGCTTCCCAGCTACAGCTAGCGCCAAAATTGTAGGAAATTCTCACTGAATGATCTGGTACAATATCTCAACAGTTATCACTGGTTCATATTCGAGCTCAAGCTGCTTCTCTTCTCACATGATTTTTCTGAAAACAGATCAAAACCGTCAACAAGATGCCTCCCAGACTGCTTGAGCCTTATTTGGATGAATGGTGGACGCAAGCCATAGCAACATCTGACAATTCAGCGCCACGCAGACAGCTTCTATCTCGAAACAAACCAAATCATTCTTCTGACAATATTGTTGGATCGTCATCTGTTGCGGAAGAAATACGGTATATGAGCTCTATGAACTCCATCATTTTATTCGAATTGTATTCATAGACTCAATGTCTCTCTTCCAAACATAGCACTCGATTGCTACACATGTGGGATCTCGCATTGAATTGCAATCCAAGCAAACCACACCGCCTGCAGGAGATGGCTAGTCGGCTTGCTTCAAAACTAGCTGATATCGAGATGCTCTTGGCAAACTATCTACGTTCGCTGCGTCATGATGATAATGATCAGGACGATTCTTCTGCGTCAGGTACTTTCAAGCCATTACTATCGCGACCGAATACCATAGAACTGACTTGTTGATTCCAGAAATATTGGACACCATCACTTCAATCCTGTCCTTTTGTCTAGACTGGGCCAGTGTACGTTGTTTATATTCGCCTTGTCGTTTTCACGTGTCTGATGCTGATTTCCTTTCTACAGGATCAATCGACTATACGAATATTGCTCAGGATATTTCGAGTGATTACAGAAGAGTCCAACAAGGCTGCTTCTCTTTTGGTCGTGAGTATAATCGGCTCATAAATTGTCGTGTGATACCGTTAAACACCCACATGTTCCTCGTAGGACCAACAGATCTTGAATAAGCTAGTTGAACTGATGGAAACAGCTTCAACAAGTCTAAAGATGGATATCATATCAAGCCTCTCGCAAAGTCTGAATAATGTAACTGTTACGAACGCATTGATACGACAAGGTCTATATCCTAAAATCATCAGTCTGGTCTTGTCCTCAAAATCATCACGATTGGCTACAGCACTAGCACCAATGGCTCAACTCATAGCTCTCTTTGATAATTGCTGTAAGCTGAATGAAATGGCTCACAATTTGCACGGAGATTGGGAGGACGAAACTATTGAGGCTTTGAGTACCATCACATCTATTTTAAAATCCTTAAATGCTATACCCATCCGAGTATTGGTCGACATGAAGCTCTTGTTTTGCATTACACGACTCTTGTCGGAATCCCCAGTAAGGGTCTTCCATGCTGTCTCTCCGCTGATATTGACTCTATTGGCCTCAGAGTCGGGATTGAAGCTACTAGCAAAGGAAGCTGAGACACCCTTCCTTAGTATTGATGAATATGTACCAGGAGAGATGGAGGATGGTATTGAAGGAGACAGCTTCCTCACGACGTGGTATGCATTGGTTTGCACTTGCCCGTCCAACCGATATGAAGATTGGGTTCGTGCAACTCCAGGTATCGTCGAGCTACTACCATTTGGCGAAGTCAGTCGTAGAAGCGTTATAGCAACCGATAATATATTGTCCCCCTTCCAACTCGTAATACTCTTGACATATCATATACATGCAATCGTCATCCTTGATCGTCTGAAATCCATTTGTACTGATCGTCTCGAAATGGCAAATCATGTGGAAGATGATGAAGTCTTGTCGAAATCGACGGAAAATGAGGTCTGTGCGCTGTTGGAAGTGATGTATACGTCGTCATGCTTCCCAGTTGCAGCTCAAGCATTTGGTCTGGTCGCCATTCAGTGTGATATATTGTCTGTTCTGTATGCCTACTATAAAACGAATCCTACTATAGATCCTTCTGGCCAAAGATATGCCATTGGTCGATATACCAACGAACTCTTCAACATGGCCACGACCTCGCCATTCTTAATACCCATGTCAAATAATACAGTCGCCTTTATAAAGACTCTACGAAATACAGGGATGGCATTTATGAACGTGGATACAAATCTTTCACTACGGCTGCTAGAAACCTTTTGTAAGCATGGTGTTGATGGATTGCTACGTCAGCTGATAAAACCGTTAGATAGTTTTGCAAGCTCGAGTTATCTCGGTCGTTTATTGATGTCGATGAACATATTGGCCCACGTCACAAACGTGTCTGGGGGATTGCAGCTGGTGGCTGTTTATTGTGAAGATGCCGAATTTGTTGCTCAAGAAGGTGTATTAGCAGAGTATTCTGTCTTGTCTTGGACAATGCGTGTAATATCGGCCGCATGCCAACAACTAGAAAAGATGTCCAAGCCCGTTTATGTTGAAGTGAAACGACAAAGTGAATCCGTAGACAGTGGCGACCATCAGAATACACTAAAATCCAGCAAAGAAGAAGCTATTGGTACTGGTGACTCAACCCTGATGCCTTCGCAGCCGAAAGCGAATGCATCATCCGCAGTAGCAGGATCGCCGGCCCGACATGCAATCGTAAAAATAGTTTCGAAAGAATCACTGGCAATAAGGCCCTTATTAGTTAGGTTGGTCATGGTTGCGACGGCTTTGCTTCAACGCCTGGTAAAGTTGAGAAGTAAACGACCCAAGCTACAGATGGAAGTAGTAGCCAAGATGTGTTTGTCTGTACTCTCTGCCCTGTCTGTCACGTCGTCATGTCAATCACTTGGCCATGATTGCTGTGACTCGTGGACATTACGGCAATGTATTGAAAATGCTAGCAGCATCTTGTCTAATGAAGAACCTCGAGTATTGCTATCAGCGCTAGTAGACGGAATGATGACAAAACCAGTTGATGCTGTAGTCGAGTTGAAACTTTTACAACAGATACTAGGTGGCATAGAAAAGGATAAGCAACAATGGGCAGACGCCATTTCTGGTATTCTTCCACGATTCTCCAGCTGGATCACCACGTATTGTCATTCTACCATACCCGAAACGCAATCGAAATATTGTGAAGTCGTGTGCCAACTATGCCTCTTGTCTCCCACGGTCGCTGAAACCGTTGTATCTTTATTATGTAAACAGGCCCGTGCGGCTGCAGCCTCTCGCCAGTGGCAAACGGTATCGATATTGACTCTTACCCTCTGCCCATTATCAACAAAACATTCGGATTTGGTATTAGGTTATCAGGACGTTTTCTCAAACACCCTGATCAACCTCAAATCATGGAATCTTGAACAGGACGTACAAGATATTCTCGTGCGGTGTATTGCGATGCTGAATCTAGGAATTCGCAGTGAGGTGGTCTCGGCAGCACTCAAAAACTACACTATTCCAGAGTTGGACACTCTAGCTGGTGTGTGTTCCACGCTGTATTTGCTGTTGACATTATCATATTTTTTGACTGGATTGTTTCATTGGTCTGATGCTGACTTCCATCCTCTTGTGTTTTTATATCTTTTATAGAGTTGACGAAGCTTGTGTTAAGTAAGCCACCTTCAGAGGATCTATATAATGATCTGGTGCATACCATATTACCTGGATTTGCGTTTGCCCAAGGACGCGCTCCGTCAGAAACAATGGATTTAGATTTGGTCATTCCCTTATTGATGGAAACACAAGCACCGATATTTTCGGTCCCACCAAAATCCACGTATACCAAGCCTACGACATCTCCGTCTGACAGACGCTTGTCTATCGATCTGCAGTTTGGACGTGACACTCGCCCGGGTTATCGCCATTATGTCAGGAATGAATTCCGCTCCCTGCATACCAGCCGAAAATCCAACACATCCCGCCCTCCATCTCTTCATGTCGATCAATTCAAGGCTCGTGAACATCAGCAAGTAATGGGATTAGGAATAGGAGGCCTGGCAACAGCGAGTGAGGATATGTGGCAAGAGTCGGTCCCGTACAACTCTGAAGTAGCAGCAGAAACAGAGCACCAATGGTACTCGTAGGGTGTATACTTGAGGCCAACAAACGCACATAGTAAATTATAAATGTGGCAAGGTTTTTCTGTAAGCACATCTTTGATGTAATATAGTAGAAAAGTGAAGGGCTACAACAATGAAACAGCCGGGTGGTGTATATTATGTGTGATGGCCTTCTTTACATTCTCAGTCAGTATTGAATACGAATAACGTAAGTTCACATTTGTGTTGTGAGGTACGCATTATGTACAGACGAAATATCCCTTTGCCTCACATCTATATGTTTGGGGTTTCAAAATCTGAATAGGCATGGGTCCTTCATATACTCGCTACGCCCAAGAACGGTAACAAATGTATGCAAATGTGTCAACCAGTCTATAAGCATCTGGCTTAAACCTCATCTATTGATTACACTCAAATCACCCTTCACTGAATCCATCGTATAAAAGGCTTTGTGTTCCAAGATCAGAAAATATAATGAACTCAAATTGTTGAAATCGTATTTGAATCAGTCCCGTCCTTGAAGACGAGCTCGGAAGTAAAACAAGACAAAGGACTTTCACGCAACTCCCAGACATGCGGATCATGATACTCTATTTGAGTGTTGCAGAATCCTTATCTTGTAAACCGTCTTCGTGTAATGCAAATATATCGTCTCTATCAACAATTATTGAATGTCCCAATCCCAGCGAGACTACTTCAACTTATTTCAGTTTGATCATAGTCTCCATTCTTTTACATCGTTCTGTGGCACAATCGTATCATCGTAATATCCTCAGACCTCCATCATCATAATGTCTAGTTGCATGTCGAGATCTCATAATACGACTCAATTGCTTCAGTAAGATGACGTTGTCCTTCATCTAGTAACTACCTCACACTGGATTCCTATTGTTTGGAAAAGGAAGGAAGAATTA